TACAGCTTCGTCTTCAATCTGCTTCTCCTTCTGTTTCTCAGCTTCTTTATCCTTCTCGGATGCCTTGGGTTGGTCTAGGTGCGGGGGCTTGAAGTACCGCCCGCTTCTTGTCATGTGATCAACCTCATCGAGGTACCAAGTGTCATTCGGTTGATTACTTCCCCAGTCTTCGTCTGTGTGGGCAAGACATAAGTCATCGTCTTCCCACCACATTCCACTGGCATTCAGAAGGCACCTGTCTGGTTCGGGCATGTTCGTACTCACAGCACTTTCAGCCCGCATGCTCATAGCATCCTCTGTTCTTGTGCCCGCAGCACTTTCGATCCCTTCATGGATCTTGGCTTTTCCAGTTCTCTCAAAACCCTGTTGTTCCACCTGCGTCAGTGCAGTTTGTTGTTCAATCTTTACAATGCTTCCATCCTGAGCGAAATTTTTCGTACCGACGCTCTCCGGTAATATAACTTGACTTCCGACCCTTCCGGCCACAGCTGATACTCTCGCCCCTGCCGGGCCCTGTTCTGGTTGGGATTCTCCTGCTACATCTGGTTGATCATCGAACCATCCAGTGGCCTCTGCCGATTCCTCATAGTCAAACCAGTTGATTGCCGCATCCCCTGATTCTTGGTCATCGAAAAATTACAGGTTGGCAAAGTCCTCCTCTACAGCTGTCAGATCATCTGCCCCTTGCTCAAATCCATCCCCCGGGATCACACACAGCTCTCCTGTCTCTGGCAATTCTATACCCAGCCCAATCTGGTCTGTTGATAAGATATACTCACTTGGATCATAGGCTCCCCCAACAAAACTCTGTTCAATCCCAGACTCAACAATCTCATTCTCTCCTGAAGTCTGCCCTTCCCCATCTTCGATGGTCACCACCGTCGGCTCTGGTTGGGTTGTGGAGATGTCCAACATGCACAAGAAGTCAGTGCAGTCGGGGAGGAACACCTCCGGCTTAGGTAGATGGGTAGGAGTAATATAGATGCTAAGATCGTAAGACACGACCCCAGTATGGATAAGATTGACTCTTTTGGGAGGTGGAGTTTGGTTGTGTGTAGGGAGGGGGTTGGTTGTGAAGTTGGGTTTTTCTGGCGCAAAATCACATTTTTGTCAACGAGGTCTTGAATCTCGTGACGCAGCCTGAAACATTGGTCGGTATCATGGCCGTGCTGCTGGTGATATGCACAGTACTTGGCTGGGTTGTGAGAGGGAGGGAGTGGATTCGGCAATGGCCTCGGCTCTAGGGGTTTTAGATGCCCCTTTCTGATCAAGACCCTCAGAGCCTTAGACAAAGGCATGTATAGTGGGGTGAAGGTTCTTTGGCCTCTGGGCGGGTACTTAGAGGTTTGAGTATTGCTTCCGGATGCACCGGAGAAGGGTGTGGCTGCCATGGGCCTTGGAAGGGGAGGGGGAATGGTGGTGACCATGCTGACCTCCGAAGCTCTTGCGTTTGCAGCGCCACTCGGGCCTGCATTGTTGTTACGGTTGAAAGTCCTCCTCGGTTGCTCCCTATCCTAGTCAATCAGACCTTGTTTCATTGCGTCTTTGATTTGTACCCCCATCTCGTGTAAATCTGAGAAGGTGGGAAAGGGGAGTACAATTATTCTCTGCATCAACTTTGGTTGGAGATTGCGCACAATCATCCGGATTTGGTCCTTATCCGTGGGCCTCAAAGTCATCATTAACGCCTTTGCCCTCCACCGAGTTACAAAGTCTGAGAAAGTTTCCTTGGGCTCCTGCCTTGTCGTTTCGAGATCACGAGTTGTAATCTCAATCTGAGTGTTGTACGAGTATTGCGCGACAAAGGCCTCAGCCATTTCATCCCAGCTTCTTTTTACTTCATCCTCTAACTTTGCGTACCAGATGGCGGCCACACCTGACAGGGTTCGGCCGAACAGCGAAAGCTTTTGTGGTCGGGTTAGGCTCATTGGCCGCAGGATGTCTGAGAATAGCCGAAGATGGACCATGGGGTCTCCGGATCCGTCGAAACGGTCAATTTGCGGCATCTTGAACCTATCGGGCAATGTCACGGCCACATCGGTATATCCGTCCTCGATATCCGGAATAGCCTTTACCCTTGCGATTTCTTGAAGAGCTTCTCAAGTTTGCTCAGTTTCAGAGCTGTGTGATCAATTTCAAACTCGAAGGGAGAGTCCGGGTGGTTGGGTGTATGGGTCTTGGACAGTTGAGGCGAAAGCGGGGGCGGAGCTGGCCCCGTTGGAAGGTTCGTGTCCTCTTGTATGTTCTGGGTATTTGGCACGGTGTTCTGGGTGTTTGGCAGAGCGTTCTGAACAGTGGGTGCCTGCTCGGGTAAGGGAGCCCCTGGCGGAGGAGGAACTTGGTGTGAAGCAGATGCCGCATTCTGCTGTTGCAGTCTAGTGATTAATTATGCCTGTTGGGCCATGATCTCGGCCTGTTGTTTGGCAAACTCATCCCGGCGAATGGCGTCCTGTTGCATGGCTCTCATGGTTTCTTGCATCTGACGCATCATTTCTTCGAC